TATATATATATATATATATACATTAAATCTTTCAATAGAATAAAAATTCAACAAAAAATTTATAAGCTTTTTAAATATTGAACAAAATGACTGATCATAGTTCTACAATATAGAAATGAGAAAACTGATGATTAACGTCATTACAGTCTAATCTATAACAAAACTTCACTTCCTTCAGTAATACTGAAAAATTTTCCGATTGATCATGCAACATAAATTTTCCTCAATCAAATTCTGGCAATTTTGTAAATAAACTATTGTTTTACAGCTCAAAGGTTTCTTTGACGACTTCCGCTGAAAATAAAAAACAAAAATCAACATAAAAATAGTGATCTTACCGATCGAACTTTGTAGCCTTTTAGCCAGAATTCCGATTTGAAGATTGTTATCGTGATTCAAAGTCACTATTTTTAACTCAGAAAGCTGAAAGTCTATTTAACTCATTGGAATAATCAAAACTATTATTTGTACTTATTCAGCACAGCTTTTTTCCAGCGGAAGTTATTACGCGACTAGGTTAGACTCCTGGCATGAGTCTAAAAACTCTATATTTTTTTAAAGTCGTTTTTAACTTCTAATGTAACGATGATCTATTTAAAATTTATCGTTGTTAAATTGTTATTATAGTTTTCAGTTGACTAATTTTAAGTATGAATAAGACTATTGGATTGAATTGCTATGAGAATAAAAGTCTTAACTCAAAAAGAAAAGTAAGATTCTTCATTTTTAAAACTTTATTACAAAGACTAGACGGATCGATATAGCATGATTAAAATTAATATTTATTATAACATGGTCCTTAACCCTTTAACGCTGAAATGGCCCTAAGTGACCCACGTGGCACCGGAGTGGGGAGGGTGTAAAGTAAATGTAGAAGGCGTTCCACCAAGAGTGGGGGAAACGCCCAGAAGCGTTAAAGGGTTAAAATTAATAATTTTTACTATTTTTCCCTATTAAATTGAATAATATATTACTAATTGCTACCTCATTTTCGGAGTAATTATTTACTGTAACGGAGCAAATACCGATAAGTTGGGTTGGCGTAATTATTGTTTATCTACTGCGCAGAACTAACTGGTTTTTTCCTGTTGACGCAATCAGTCAAGTTCATTGCCCCACCATCGGACCACGTCATTCAACCACTGGTATAAATTCAATCGAAGAGCTGGCCCGGGTTTCAGTCAGTGAAGCCCGCGACTTTAACCACGTAATCGGTTGGAATAATAACATTTTTTAGTTACAAGAGATTTTTATCTACATTAAAAGGTCAGAATAATTTCTGATTTATTGAAAATATTTTTTTTAAGTGATTACCACAACGAAAAAAATTTGTTTGTGATTTAGTGATAGTGTTTAATTCTTATTAATTGAGCCCCACTTGTTTACGAAACAGCTAGAATAAATGTTGTTTTGATAATATCGTTTTACTTAGCATTAGCGGAAATGTTTTGGATCGTTTCATATGACACGTAAAAGTGATAAGCCGGCATTCTATGTTGTTCAATTCTTGGACTTGCCTTATGAAGGTATTGATGATTACGTATGCGTACCACACACTTGGGTAATGGTACATAAAGTACACGATATGAAAGCTGTTGTTACCTACCCTACAGGCGAAGATCCTTCCCTCACAAGAGATCGCGTTAAAAGAAAGGAAAAATGCGATCATGAGTGGAAATTTTTTATGGCTGCCGTCAAATATCACTCAAGTGAGTTTAAATAATTTCATTAATCAATTCGTTGTGTTTTATCGCTAAAGTATGATCAGATTCACAATATCTCAGAAATTAAGATAAAATAAGAATTATTTTTTTTTCTTTTCAGATAGTTACCAAAATGCAGAAGCTTGGACAGCGTCAAGAAATGATCATCGACTTTTAGTAGAAAGAGAAACAAGAAAAATGCCTGGTAAGAATCAAATAAATTTATCAGTCTTCACGATTGAATTTCCATTGAAAATACTTTTTTGAATATTGCTTGTTTTAAATTTCAAGCTTCTGAATAGTAATAAAAATTTTTATTTATAGATACGCAACCAGAATCTGCGCCGAACCTGAATTCGCGGAATTCCACTCAAGGTAACTCGTCGAAATTTAATGATAATCCTCGGAAACCACTGCCGAGAACATTAATCACGCGACCAAGTTTACCAGAACTGAACGAACAACTTGATGGAAAACGGTTTAAACTGAAGAAAGCTGCTAAGCCATCTAGCGATTCTGTTACCGACGCTAATACAGAGTCAATAAGGGAACAATCGACCAACATTCAAGACAACCGATCAACGAAACTCACTCAGACACAAGAAACTGCTGCTGCTTCCAAAATTAACTCGAGAACTGAACAAAGAACTCAAACTCAGCGTACCGAGCAAAACAAAGAAGCTCTAAGCTTACCTGTAATAGACGTTGATGGACCGCCTGAAGTTATGGAAATTGATGACAGACATCATTCACCAGGTATTAAAACGTCCAATCAAAACAATAGCACTAGCCACAGTCACCTTTCTGACACAGCGGCTGTACCAATGTCAGCCACGAAACCTTTAACTTCAACCGAACGGAACACTCAACCATATCAGTATAATAATCAACAACATATTCTAGATAACAGAAATTCATTATCGATTTTCGAAACACAGTTAGAAAATATCCGATCTCTTGCCAATGCTCATAACGATCACGAACTACGCAGTCATGAAGTTTCATCTAACACACCAACTACCTCTCATAAGGTAATGAACTCACTTAAAATACCTGCTCAACTATGTGATAATGTGTATGGAACAACAGATTTTGTACAGGCTCGAAATGCGATCGATAAGAAAATATGTCGTAGGAAAATGAATAGGAATTTGGAAATTGTCGCACAGAATTCGTCGAATTTAATGGGACAACCCGGATCTTTATCAGCGCGTTCTGTAGAAGAACAATCATCAGTAGTTGCTCAGACTCGATCACAAGATGGTCCTCGAGTTCGAGAAATGCACCCTGGAAATAGCACAGACCAAACAGCTCCGCTTTGGCAGATCATAATCAACTCTCCAGAAATTCAGCATACACCGAAAAGAAATGCTGAAAGTACTAGCAATACTCTATTGGCTTCACAAAACCTGCCAAGCTCATCTTATATTCCATCTACTGGACAAATTTTAACGAAACCATCCAATCCGTTGTATCAGACTTCCAAATTTCCACAACAGAGACCGTCACAGTCGAATCAGCAAGACTCACAGCGACAACCGCAGATACCGGATATACGTACTAGCGTCTCGAACGAACTACAAAAAGAAACGCAAATGCCTACTCTTCAAGAGGTCAAAAAGAAAGTGCAGTCATCTGTTCTGTCAAATTTACTGAAATCAATGCAATCAACGCTATCAGCTAATCACAATGAATACCTTCGAAGTGAAAAGCAAGCAAGGCTGAGTCAACAATCTACTGAACATAATAATAGAGAGTTAACATCGAGCCCGAAAAATGTCGTAGTATCAACAACAAGCGATAAACATCAACACGTAATAGACAATACGCGTCAAACAGGCGAGTGCGTCGTAAAACCTGTGTCACCACATTATGCGGTAACTTCAGATTCCGATACAGTTACGGATGAAGGAATTTTAGACCACGAGTTGTCTACAGACAGAGCACCTGTTGAGAGAATAAATGATAGCACCAGCACTGAAATCACTCCTGCAAGTAGCTCCGCAGACAGGCCAACAACTGCTGAAAATTCTACATCAATAAACTCTTCTACTGATGTCAGGTCTTCTTTAGAGCAGGGAATATTGAACAACTTTGCTGACCTCTTCACTCAAATAAGCTCTACTTTGCGTTATACTACTGATATGTACAGCACCTTACGAAGTTCAATCCTTGACACTGCCCAGACATATAAAAAGTTACTAGGTGCAGTCGAACAATTCAACTCAACGCAAAATTCAGCCGACAATAAATCTTTTTCGATTAACTCGAAACCAGAAGTCCGAAAGTCTCCTAAAAGAAGACACACTGAAGTAACAGCAAGTACTAGTTCCATTACTCAAGATCAACATAGTAACGACGATGCTAACGAACCACCGAAGAAAAAATACAACTCATGGCGTTTTGTCCTACCACCGGAATATGATCCTCATGATACAAAATGGACATTGAAGTATCGGACTAATCTGCCAGGCCTCATAGAACTTAGGCCTCAAAGGGGTGTTTGGGTCAGCTACGGAGACCTCAAATACTGTCAGCAAGTATCAAAAGATTGCAAATCATTAGCACGACGATTATTATTAGCAGTATTCAACAGAAAAGCACTGAGTGTTTGTTTATCAATTACTGAGAGAGCGCAGGCTTCTGATAATGTTGGATCTAATGCTAGGCCAGAATTAGATGATCATGCGTGTACAGTACTGTTAAATTTTGTTTTAGAGCACGGACTCCAACGTGGTTGGAATACTGACATACAACCTATTCTCAATACTTTGCACAGTAAGATTCAAGAGATTCGATTCAAATACGGTGTCGTGGTTCAATGCCACTTACTATAATTACGATCTGTTGGTCATATGTGGAGCCGTTCAATGTTCCTAAATTATTCATGCTAAGAATTTAATATTATTGTAACTAGGGTAACTAATGTAATTATTATAATATATTTTAGAAATTAAGTAGGAAAGACATCACAGTGAGAATAGTGTTAGTCTAGCTCTTGTCTTATTAATGTAATAGTAAAGATAGTTGTAATTTTAATTTATGTTCCTGATCGTTCTGTAAGTATTGTACCCTTTAGGTGTAAAGAACAATCAACTCCATTAATAGTAGTTTAGTTAAGATTAGGTTGTTAAATTCGTATGCGATTATTTTGCATACATACATTGTGTTTTAAGTTAATTTATTTTATAATGGGATTCATTTTCATAGTTATATCTGTAATTGACAGTTCTTATAGTATTATATTTACGAAGTCAAGAATTGTTAAACAGGAATATAGTTTATAAGTTTTAAGATTAGAAGAGAAGCAAAGACAATTCATTGTTCCGATCAATAGACTGGAGTAATTATTTTATTTAACCATTTATCTTCTACGGCGGAGTAAGATTTATAGAAGTATTGAGTTAATTATTTTTAAAATGTAGATTATCATTTTAATTTTAGTTTTCGACTGGCTTAAAGTATTACAACGGAGGCTACCCAGTAACTGTAATTTATGTTTTTCTACATATGTTATGTTTTAAATGATTAAAAAAACAAAAGAAATACATCCTTTTTGGTGAATAACATGTGTTTTATTGTTCTATTATATTTATTGATGAAACGAGCATGAACGGCGCACAGATTTTACACATTTCGAACTTATCAGCGAAGAACACAGTTCTATTAATAATAACAGAAAGTTTTTAGTCGATAAATTCAAAAGGCCCTCGAAAAATGTGTTTTAAATTAATTGAAAAAGTAATTGTTAGCGTAATTGTATTTTTGATCATTGTCCTGCAGTAATTAAAAAACAATGGCTATCGATTTAGTAAAAAAAAATATTAATTATTTGATATAAAGTTAACCTGTAGAAAATAAAATTTTTTTCATATTACTTGTTATATTTTCACGATAAAATGACTTTCAATAAATATATTTATAGAAGGATCAAAAATTCCTATGGTGCGCACCATTCACTTGGAACAGTCTTTATATATAAATTCATAGAATTCAACCAAAGTACAATACATCGTTACGTCCCCGGACGTGCCAAGCTAATGAGTCATCAGTCAGCGGTTAATGCCATCCATTCGTGCGGAAAATACTTATGGCGCCCTCCCGAGGTATCGATTAATCTACTGCGCATGCCAACAAACTTACAATTTTAGAGGCGGGGGGAAACTTCAACTGTACCCAATGGTTCCCATCTATCGAGTGTTATTCAAGGTCGCTATTTCATCAGTAAAGTAGTTCCCGTACAGAAAACATTCAACTTATGCTTATTTTATTAGCGAATTTATCACCACAGTCCAGAAAAAAACAGAGAGATTCGGCAGCTGGCCACTGGAAACTCGCCAGAAAAGATTAGAACTAACTCAACTCTTCTATTCTTAGAAGTTTTATTATGATTTCAAAACAAAATTGTTTATGAATATATTTACCGTCTAATATGATGACAGCAATCAATTTATTACGCAATATTGTTTAATTAAAATACTCTATTAAATATGACCACGTAAATTCATTAGCCAGTAATAAATGGAACTATAGGGATAACTGTGCGAACTCTTATCGGAGTCACGTTTTATAGCGTAGCTATTAATCGAATAGAAACACATCGTCACGTGGTTCTAGTAGGTATCCATCTATTATTTATTAACGTTGTACTTCGGTATTTATAACAATCGAGAACGTTCCCATACAATGATATTTGAAGGTCATAAGCAACAGAGAATTAGTTGCGCCAAATAATTAATAGACTGAGCAAACTATTGATCAGATTACTTAACGGTGCTTAGTTTTTAAGGTTGGAAATAATTATCATATTTGATTAAAGTTACATTCGTGGTTCTATTTTTCAAAATGATCTCCAAGATTTGATATTACTGATCAACTGGATCATAGGTTCTAGAATATGTCTAAATATCATCATATAATAGGGGGCAATAGCTCAGAATAATCAAAGAGCGAAGTAAGGACACAAGTATCTCCATTCCCGATAACATATGACCTGGATTTGATAGTGATTTTAAACGAAAACATTGACTTTATAATACTGAGAGGTTACGCTTGACCCAATTTGACCTGTTTGTCCAACCCCGTGACATGATGAGTGTTTACATCATAAAAGTTGATAAGGAATTCGTATAAGTAACAATTGGTTCCACCAGGCAGCAGTCGCAATTAGGAATTCGAAAGATGAAGGCAGAAGCCGTGTGTGTTTTACTTTGTGCACTCTCCATAATTTCATGTAAGTAAATTTAATAATCTTTCGCCGTTGGTTAATTTTCGTAAAGCTCAGATGATAAAAGTCTGATGATGTACTAGACATTTGGTTACTTAAATCTCGATCTTAATACCAGTTATTTTTTTCAAGGGATTGGAGTGACACCCATTGGAAATAATGAAAGTAGAGAAGAAAAAGGAATTTCTGATAGAGACAGAAGATCCGTCAATGGTGCTTTCATTGGATAAACTATGAACCACTATGTCAACGGGGCACCCTCTGAGAGTAACAATGAATTTTCTGGTCGTTCACCTCCATTTAACTTAGTAGGAGCCCAAATAGTACAAAATTCAAACCAATATGAACCAAGCAACGGAGACATACGTGGAGCTGTTATTAATCAGACTTCTAATGAATATCGTGTTGGTCGAAATGGAGGTACTATCCAGGGAGCCACAATCACGCAAACTGGAAATGGGTATGGAATTGAGCGACGCTTTGAAGATCCCAGATGGAGGTCAGTCCCTTATTATCCCAAAGAAAAATCCAATGAGTACGCAACTGACAAAAACTCACAAACAGAAAACTATGACAGAGTTAAGTCATTGAATTCAAAAGAACTACCGATAACCAGCACTTCAGACGTGAAAGCTAATGAAGTTGAAGTTTTACAACCAAAAAATCAGCTTCCACAATCAAACAATGTAAATAATCTTCACGACTAGATTAAAGATCATGAACATGAGTCCGATCGTATTCAATCTCCTAAGGCAATAGAAAACATGTCTTCCACATCTGGCGCTCAACCGACTCAGTCTGAGACTGCTAATCATCTTCGCGGCAACTACAATTATCAAGAAATAGGATCCGGGCAATTCGAGACTCCTCAAGGAATACAATATCTCCCTTCCCAATCTGGATTCCTGCCAACTAAGTTCGAGAACGTCAATTACCCTAACATCAACTGCAATTATAATAGACAAGGATTCGGACAGTTGGCTCCTCAAAGAACACAATATCTCCCTTCCCAATCTGGATTCCTGCCAAATAAGTTCGAGAACGTCAATTACCCTAACATCAACTACAATTATAATGGACAAGGATTCGGACAGTTGCAAACTCCTGAAGGAACACAAAATCTCCCTTCCCAATCTGAATTCCTACCAACTAAGTTCGAGAACGTAAATTATCTTAACAGCAACTACAATTATAATAGACAAGGATTCGGACAGTTGCAGACTCCTCAAGGAACACAAAATCTCCCTTCCCATCTGGATTCCTACCAACTAAGTTCGAGAACGTAAATTATCATAACAGCAACTTTACTAATAATGGACAAGGATTCGGACAGTTGTAGACTCCTCAAGAAACACAAAATCTCTCTTCCCAATCTGGATTTCTACCAACTAAGTTCAAGAACGTAAATTATCATAACAGCAACTTTACTAATAATGAACAAGGATTAGGACAATTGCAGACTCCTCAAGGAACACAATTTCTCCCTTCCCAATCTGGATTCCTACCAACTAAGTTCAAGACCTCCAATTATTCTAAGAGCAAGTACACTTATAATGGACAAGGATTCGGACAGTTGCAGACTCCTCAAGAAAGACAAAATCTCCCTTCCCAATCTGGATTTCTAGCAACTAAGTTCGAGAACGTAAATTATCATAACAGCAACTACAATTATAATGGACAAGGGGTCAGACAATTGCAGACTCCTCAAGGAACACAATATTTCTCTTCCCAATTTGGATTCCTACCAACTAAGTTCGAGAACGTCAATTACCCTAACATCAACTACAATTATAATGGACAAGGATTCGTACAATTACAGACTCCTCAAAGAACACAATTTAATCCCTTCCAATTTGTAGCCCAGCCACCAGAGCTCAAGAACGCCAATAACTTTCAAAGTAACTACAATTATCAAGGACTGGGATTCGGGGAACCGCTGACCAGCCAAGAGTTAGAATCTCTTCATTCTCAGTCTGGACTTCGAACGTCATTACCTACGACCACAAATGTTCCTTCCGATCAAGGAAAATCGTTTGAGAGGAATTATCAGTACTCGCAAAATAATTTAAGGGGATTCTATCCATCTCAATATTCTCCAATTCAACAACCAAACAACAGACAACCGTTGGCCTCAGGCTCTGCTCATATTGATGCTCAAGCTGGTTCTCAAGCTACTGGAGTAATTTCAACAACCTCGGTAGTAAGCCCGGCAGATTGGCTCAGATTGGGCACAATCCCTGCAGGATATGATCTCGTCTGCGATCCACCGAAGGGATTTTGCTGGTACCAACCCAGACAGCAGGATATGAAGTATAACGTTAAAACATAATAATACAGGTTACGAAATTTACAATGTAACTTTATTCTATGGACATTCATGTATCAGTAGTACAATAATTTTTATTTCTTAAATTTGTATGTTTTCATGTATTTGATTTTCAAAATAAAGCGCAATTAGTTCAACTCCGTAGTATCTTTTTACCGACCCATTACATTACTAAACTGCAAGTAGGCTGCAAATTTTATGAAAAATTTCATGAAATCGCAATGATAATCAACATCATAAGACCAATAAAACTTTAAATGTTACTGATGAGACCAATACACGAGATTTGTTTCCTTTCCTAATTTTGACACAGATCAAAAAGTTAGGTATCATATTTCTATGATCATAAAGAACGAAATACACAATCGAACAATCTCTGAAAGTAAAACTATTTATTATCCACTACAAGTGCCCTCAATAATTAAAGGTTGATAAGATATCATGGGGTCCAGTTCAAATGAAAACAAGTTCGATATCATTATTAACATGTCAAGCAAACGATGATAGAGAGTATCTTAGGATATTAATACAAGCCTCATATCAAGCCTAATAGGCTCAATAAGAATCTATATCATCTATGATTAATCGGCTCTTCGTGAAAGACCTTCTATCTGATACCAGTTATCATCTTCGGCCCTATAACCAAAGTTGCAGGGCAGAAACAACTATCCAACGATTGGTGTCATTTGGAACTCAAATCAACTGTAGATCCAGACTTGTTGTTTTGTCGAAAACTATCCAATGCGGATAATTCCCGTAATTGTTTTTAAAAATATGATGAAGTTGGGATTAGGAAATTAAATAATAATACTTGGATTTTTTGGGGAACAATTTAGAAGAATTTATTTGTCCCCAAAGGAGGAAAACCCAGCTAGGCTGGGAAAAAACCTCCTTGATGAAATTATACAAGTAAATTGTGTGTGTGTAAGTGTGAATGTGTAAAATTACGTTGCAATAACGCAATAGGAGTGAGCTCAGCCGCCTTAGATAGAAAATTATCGATAATTTGAATTAGATAAGTCCCAAGGTGGGAGCTGGTAATATCTAATTAATTTGAACTGTCTCAGAGTGAGAACTATTAATGTTCAATTGTCTCAAGGTGAGAGCTAATAATGTTCAATTGATAACAGAATGTTAGTCAATTGAGTTTGATGTTTTTCATGTAGAAATTAGTCAAATGATTTGAAATTGGAATTTAATTATTTATAAGTTAAATTAAATAAGATCGTAATTAAATGTTAATAATTGATTTAATGTAATTAATTGTTAATATCACGCGTCAATTATGGATTGACTAAAGCCGCGTGGCTGATGCAATCCTTTGTTAACGGTGGCGCGTAATGGCCGCGTGGCGTCACTAAATAAATTTACTTGATTTTACTTATTTATGTTAATTCACTGAACTATTAAACTGATTTAAATGAATTGAGAATTTAATGTATAATTGAATCTACTATAATTATTTATATTTAATGAATAATTTAAATATTTGAATGAATGTGAGATGCAAGTAAGAATTGTCAGAATTGATTAGCACAGAGTAGTCGTACTAGTACAAGAGTCCAAGCACAACTGTTGCAGCAGACCACGCGAGCCGGCTTCTCTACCGCTAACCAAGGCGCGCATGCGTGACGGCCATAGTGTGATACGATTATTCCCGAGTTCATACGATTATTCCCGAGTTTTAACGATTAAGCCCGAAGGCGTAATTTCTTTTATAAGTATTTGACTAGATCTCTTTTCTAGCGGTTAAACACTTGTCAAATGTTGCTGTTAGTGTTTAGCATTCCGAATTAACTTGATTTACCTATTTTTCATTGACAATACAGAAAACACCATAGTTTCTCTCATTCTGGATGCAGTTTGCTAGAAGATGTTCTAACTTTTACAGTCACTCTGCCACCTATTTGCTCCCCAGATTGACGCCAAACTGCGTCGACAAATAGATGTCAGTTTGTTGCCAAGTGGCTATCAGAGCAGTTGGTGGAAAATTCCATTCGAAAAAGCTTATCTCGTTACTGTCGCCTCGGGTCGCAACCTTTGAAACTGACCTCTGTTGTACAGACTGAATAAAAGCGAAGGGAGGCTACTCTGAAGCACAGTTGGGTTTCGAAACTCGAGCGATCATGTTCTTCAGCAAATTACCGCTTGTTTTTCTCGCCACTATTCTGGGAATATCATGTGAGTAATAATTTAATTACATAAATATTTTCCTGTTGCTAATATTTGTTAAAATACTTGTTTATGTTAATAATTAATAACATTCCTTGTCGTTTTATGTGTTTATCAGGTGGTGCAAGGAATGGATATCCTTATCCGCAGTCTAATGGACCGATTGGATACCGTTTGCCTCTACCGAATGGACTACCGGGATACCCATATCCACAGTCTGATGGATCGAGTGGACACCCTTCTTCTCAACCAAATGGACGAACGGGATACCCTTATCCGCTGGATAAGGGACCGAGTGGACACTCTTTGCCTGAACCGAATAACCAATGGCTTCCCGTAACCCCTTCCCCTGGCTTACAGGATAATAATAGATATACACGGTGTGTTTGCACAGAATTTAGTGGTGGAATTGGATACCCTTACGCGCAATCTAAATAAGGAAGTGGATATCCTTACTTGCAGTTTTATTGATCGAAGGGAAAAAAAGATCCACAATTTTATTTCTTTTAATAAACATATTAAATATTGTAATATGCATGATGCATCAATGAAATAAAATAAATACTTGCAGAATATTTTATTTTTATTTTTTACTACTCACCACATTGTTTATGGGCATTTAAGTTGTGTTATTATCATTAAGAACATGTAGGACAGGTGAATATATCAATTTTGAACAAGATACTGCGACGCTTTTTGACCAAGTATTTATTGGATAAAAAATTATAGAACTTGGCAGGAGTACGTAAATAATAGTCTTTCGTAAATTGATTCGTTTATTTTTAAATTTAATCATTGAAAAAAAAATAACAAAATGATAAATGAAGAGGTAGTGTTCATGTAAAACTGCCTTATCTCAGGACCCATCACATATTTAAGTAAATAAACTTTACTGTGAAGAAATTACTAATAAACGTACAACCAATATAATTTTTGAGATTAGATTAGATTAGATTAGATGAGTTTAGATGACTTATAAGACAGAATTATTAAAATGCAGCTAAGTTACGGTAGAAAAATAATTATCAATAAAAAATTTCATTAACTATACTTTCATGTAGACTGCAAGAGAGTGCCAAAAGGAAATTATCTTGTTTAATTTTTTTGAGCAATGTTTAGAGTATTAACAGTCAGTCTGATAACCACCTTCAGTGCATTTTACATAAGTTTCAAATAGACAAACCGATATATTCAATTGGCATTTATTGTTACTGGCCCATACTGGATTACCGACATTAGACTGTACTACATGTTTCTATCGTCAAGCTATATGAATTTCAACTAACCCTTTAGTGTTCTGGAGTTCGATTCTGACGATGTTTTTCTCTCCGTGATCATTCAAAATTCATGGGCTCTACTTGGAAGACCTGTAATCCATATCACTTTTGACTCGCATCTATAAGGTCAATCATACGTTACATGATCTGGTTCGTAAATAGTGACAGTTATCAGCTCTAATTAGTGGAAAATTTCACGAAAGGGGAAGGTTTATCTTCTTATTGTCTTTTCGGGTCGCAATCTTCCAGACGTCATCACATGACCAGATGGATAGACTGAATAAAAGGGAACGAAAATTACCCCGAATCACGGTTGAGTTCCGAAACCGGAACGATCATATTCTTCAGCAAATTACCCCTTGTTCTCCTCGTCGCCACCCTGGGAACATCAAGTAAGTAATAATTCAGTTGAAAAAAAAATTTTTTTTTAATACAATTGCTATAATGGGATAAACTATTCGCTCATCTTATTGCTTCTTCAATTCTCTTACTTTCAAAAGCATGGTCTTTCTTAGCATAGTTCTGTCATTTTTAGAATATAGCGCTAATCTATGAGTATAATTTAAAAAATTTGTTATTTCTTTGATAGTGTTCCCAGGGAGTGGATTAACCGCTGCATACGTATACTACCCGAATCAGCAGGCTACTGTCCAAGTCGGAAACGGAAATCAGCAGGCTACTATCCAAAGCGGAATCGGCAATCTGCAGATTACTGTACAACAGGGGTTGAGTAACATGCAGTCTGCTATACAACAAGGGTCTGGAAACCTGCAGCCTACTATACCTACATCGGGATTCTTCAACCAGATCCCTTCTATGCCGTATGGATCCGTAGGATATCCTCCTATGCCGAATGGATATCCCTACTCACTGTACCCTACCTATTATACACCGTACGGAATCAACAACCAACCATGGCCTCTACAGATCGGAGCCAACAACCAACAAGGAAATATGCAAGAAGGATCCTTCAATCGACAAACGAATATTCAACGAGGATCTAGCAACCAGCAAGGGAGTAAACAAAAAGGAAACAACATCGATCAACAGAATCCACAAGACGGAATTGGCAATCAGCAAGCAAATATGCAAGAAGGATATAACAATCAACAAGTTAATGACCAACAAGGATTTGACATTGTGAGATACCTCAACCAATTAAACGCGCTCTACGGACATCTCAACCAGCAATGTGTCACTCCAAACGGATATCTCGTCCTGCAAGCGATCACGTCGAGTGCATACCCCTCCCAGCATTATGTCGCTATGAGTGGAAACCCTGCTCAACGATTTATTACATTACAGGGCTATCCTACCCAGTAATTTAATAAATAAAATGCAATCTACGGAGACCTGTTGTCTTCATGCGCATTGATTCATAAAATAGAATGTCTTGGATATCTTAAACCAATAGAATCAGGAAATGGATCAGTAACGTCAATATTAAACTAGGAAAATTCAGGATACAACAATACACTCGAATATCTTTTCAACAAATGTTATATGCTTGCTGATTATGAATCAGAATTTGTACCAAAAATTTTAGAACTCATTAGTATGTAAGTCTTAGATTAAACCTTAAGAATAAATGTAACCTCGACAATATTTTGAACATCAAATACAATAAATGAAATTCACAATAATTGGTTTTGTTCTTTTTTTTCGTCGCCTAGGGTAGAACCACCGGTTTTGAACACCCCTTATTAAAAAAAAAGATTTAAAACGATTCAACCCATGCAAAATGTATATCTATATATTTGTCAAGTTGAATCTTTTTTAATCGCTTTGAACTATTTCGAATCTTTCCAAATCTCTTTTTCTAATCAGGGACCTTAGTGCTCGTTTTGGACAGTTTGGAATTCAATGATTATGTAAAAAAATTGTAAAGTTAAAATAACTTTTTCATAGAATTTTTAAACGCTTACATTCATGCAAACAGAATTTATGATGCTATTACATTTATCAATTATTTATAGAACAATTTGGACATCAAATGTCCGAAAACGGTATAGCGTCCACAAGTGCTTCTACTCTGTTCTCTAAATTAAAATACATGAAAGTCTTGAAGTTAGTCATAGGTCGAAACTCGCAAAAAACGGGCCACGATTCATTATTGGATAAAATTAAGGCGCGCGCGTAGCGCGCTATTTACATTTCTAGCACAACATGAAAACCGAGTTTCTCCGAATTTCTATTATCAGAGCGATCGAAGTACACATTTACTAAAAATCAACAATATTTTGGTCTTTATTTTTATGAATTCGATAATGAACGGTGAATTATAGATCGTGATTAACAGTATTTTAATAATCGACTCAGTACAGTTGTCAGCCAATTAAAGTCTATGCACAACATCAATTTTGTAAAATTTCTATTATGTCAAATAACATTTTGTTCTCTCAATTCCAAACCAAATCTATTCAGCAATTCATGCCTCAGAAAAAATTGATTCTTATTGAAAGACATAACTTTCGAGTCATTTGGACATTTCCTATCTTTCCTACGGTATTTGAATAAGAATGATGATTAAATCACTATCGAAAAAGGATCAATAGATTATCAAATCATCTGTTTATGTCACAATCAAGTAGCTTTTCTAATTGTTTAACGTAACGTTCAGAATAAGAGATTGTATAAACTCATGTTATATTTTTTACGAACTATCTCAGAAACGTAAGTCATAATAATTGATCGAATTTTTAGTTCTTCAATATAAATACATCTAAGTTTTTTTTTTATAGTTGTTTTTTATTAGATAGTATCGACGGAGGAGTATATATATATATATA